CCATGTCGTGACCCGGGACGTCAACAAGATGGTGGCACCTTGACCTCTGAATCACCAAATGGTCCTAAATGTTGACTGACTCAACAAAAGGAAGAATTAAACTTTTTAGAGTAACGTTGAGTTATTTACAGTATCGATTTGAGTCGTGTGTGAGTAAACTGACCAACCAACGGAACTGACCATCAACAGAAGTAAACTAACCAACAGGAGAAGTAAACTGGACCAACCAACAGAAGTAAACTGACCAACAGGAGTAGTAAACTGACCAACCAACAGATAAACTGACCAACAGGAGAAGTAAACTACCCAACCAACAGAAGTAAACTGACCAACAGGAGAAGTAAACTGACCAACCAACAGAAGTAAACTGACCAACAGGAGAAGTAAACTAACCAACCAACAGAAGTAAATGACCAACAGGAGTAGTAAACTGACCAACCAACAGAAGTAAACTGACCAACAGGAGAAGTAAACTGACCAACCAACAGAAGTAAACTGACCAACAGGAGTAGTAAACTGACCAACCAACAGAAGTAAACTGACCAACAGGAGAAGTAAACTGACCAACCAACAGAAGTAAACTGACCAACAGGAGTAGTAAACTGACCAACCAACAGAAGTAAACTGACCAACAGGAGAAGTAAACTGACCAACCAACAGAAGTAAACTGACCAACAGGAGTAGTAAACTGACCAACAGGAGTAGTAAACTGACCAACCAACAGAAGTAAACTGACCAACAGGAGTAGTAAACTGACCAACCAACAGAAGTAAACTGACCAACAGGAGTAGTAAACTGACCAACCAACAGAAGTAAACTGACCAACAGGAGAAGTAAACTGACCAACCAACAGAAGTAAACTAACCAACAGGAGAAGTAAACTGACCAACCAACAGAAGTAAACTGACCAACAGGAGTAGTAAACTGACCATCCAACAGAACTGACCATCAACAGGAGTAAACTAACCAACAGGAGTAATGCACTGACCACCACCACCACCACCAATAGCTGAACACAAACCTCAACACTTTAACTCATGAAACAAGAGGCTGAACTATACACACCTGCATCGTCTATATACATGCTAAACTAATTGTAAACCTGTATGACACACACACACACACACACACACACACACACAATAAGTCAGTCTCTCCGTATCTCCCTATGAATGTCTCTCTCTCTCTCTCTCTCCTGATCGCCCACCTCTGAGACTGTAGGTATAATTATCACTTACTTTCTTTTCCTGCTTAAAAATGTTGAATATCCAGGTTAAGGTATGACGACTAATTAATACCTGGGCGCCAACTGTAACACCTGTACTCGCTCTCAGGTGGACTACCGACCACACCTGCAGGTTGTACCAAGTTGATTACATGATATGTACCGAATCTAAAATTCCATTCATCATCCCAGTCTCTGTCTTCTCCTGGTCCTCCTACCCTCATCTTTACCCATTAATATTTCTGTTATTATTCCCTCATTCCAAAATATATGACCAAGTATCTCGTTTTTCTAAGTACGTTTTCATTTATTTTTCCTCTCTCTGGTGTCTGCTGAAAGTGTCCACGGCTCTGACCCATACATCAGTCCTTGCCATATATAGCCTTTCAGCAGACCTTTTTTCAAATTGAAGTTAATGTTCCTCTTTATTAGGTCTCTACCATCAATTAATGTTAATTCGTAAATAAATAAAATATCCCATTTGTGTATAATTAATGTTACTTTATCATTAACTTTTATTCCTCCATTTCTCTCATTAAGAATTCTGAAAATATATTACTGTACACAATGTTGTAGACAGAACACAGCCTTGTCTTACTCCCTGTCTAACTTTGAACCATATAAATTCACTGTTTGAAAATATGAAATAAAATCCTATCTAAACCTGTCCATCTTTCTTCACTTAATCCTAGAATGTCCCACCTCAACCTTTCAAATTTCCCAACAAACATTTACAAACTTCTTAGCCTCATTTAATAACCTTACTATCCACGTTTCTATTTTGATTTTGTTCGCTCTTAAAACTTTTTGTAGTCGTGTTTAATGTCCAAGGCTTTACTTTGCTCGGTCAGGACTGGCTATAGCTCTCGACGGCAAATTGTCCACAAGCACGGGAGGCAAATGTGGTTGGATCTTTAGGTAACGATGATCCTCACCTGACACAAGACTACAGGTATACGTGTCTCCTGTGTGTGACTGTGAAGGATACATGAAGATACAGGTACAGTAGTTTGATATAACATTACAGAAGAGATAAAAAGAACATAGTACTCCAGGGTATAACAACAGATAACATCCTAGATAACAAGTCTCTCACATGAACACTTATCGCACACGAAAGGTATAACACAAGATATAGTTATTGAAGACGCTGAAGGAGTTATCATATATAACTAAGCTTTTCCCCAGTTCTACATATAACTAAGCTTTTCCCCAGTTCTACATATAACTAAGCTTTTCCCCAGTTCTACATATATAAAGCTTTTCCCCAGTACTATTACAAACTTTTCCCCAGCTCTACATATAACTAAGCTTTTCCCCAGTTCTACATATAACTAAGCTTTTCCCCAGTTCTACATATAACTAAGCTTTTCTCAAGATCATATTCTACCACTGAAACAAGATCCTAGAGCTCAATAATACCTCTGGACACCTTCACTCAACGGGATTCGAACCCACAAAACATCTGTCACGTTAAACGATCGTAATATTGTACATCTTATTCATTCCTCACTGACAACACAGAAGACCACAGCTGTAGGGCCACACTGTCTATGGGGAGCCACACTGTCTATGGAGGGCCACACTGTCTATGGAGGGCCACACTGTCTATGGAGGGCCACACTGTCTATGGAGGGACGGACACACTGTCTATGGAGGGCCATACTGTCTACCCATGGCCACACTATCTACCCAGGATCATACTACCTACCCATGGTCACACACACACACACACACACACACACACACACACACCTCAAGATCAAATTCGTACACAAAAACAATGACACTCGTGTTATATTTTCGTTAAACTGATGTCAGGTTAAATCAAAAACTATTGCAACAGTAAGGAACATTAGCTCGTCAGGCAGTACTGTGGGTTCCATACATGTACAGTACTTGTTTATGTACCAACTTGACCTCACAGTACTAATGTCAGGTGAGTAGGTCAGGTTAGATAGGTCAGGTCAGGTGATACTGTTATAGGTCAGGTCAGGTGATACTGTTATAGGCCAGGTCAGGTAGTACTGCTATAGGTCAGGTCAGGTCAGGTAGTACCTTTATAGGTCAGGTCAAGTAATTATATCGGGTACAATTCATTTGGGCTAAAAATAAAAACTTTGGCGTGAAAAATTACTTCATTTGACCGATAACTGTCGCTAAATATCGCTGGAAATACCGTTTCAGTCTCAAGATAGATATTTTGTACTGATGTAAATATAAATTAAAACTCAAATTAACGCTGGAAAAAATGTGTTTATGTTTATCCTTATGAGAATAAATCATTTTTAGTTTGTTGGAATAAATTGTTGGTGTATTTCTGTATTAATTTATTCTTTAAGTTTAATGAGAAAAAATTACAATTTCGTATTGGTTATTTTTTTATGAGAGGAAATTATTGCTAGGATTTTGTTATTATCTTAACCTTACCTAACCTAACCTAACCTAACCTAACCAATTTAACCCAGCCTCAACACAAACATTAACTTTTCCAATGCTAAAACGGCATGAGACGGAGGCAGTACAGCACCAGCAGCTACGGGGCCTCCACACGGCACCCCACACTGGCACTCTGGAGACGCCTTGTGCCACATTTGGTCACAAGTCTTAGTACATAAACAAAAGATATCATCATCTGTTTATTGCTATTATTTTCTTTATTTTTCTATAACTATTAATTAAGCCAATTATCTTTCATATACATTAGTAATCTATTCATTAACATACAGGTAGATAATTTACCTGGATATAATGTAAAAAACAGCAACAACAACAAATATTTCATGTTTAGCAGCCAAGGTTAATAATGATAACTTTTAACATGGTTATTAACGATATTACCAATTTACTTTCACTAATGACGTTCATTAATGATACCTGACAACGAATCTACCTGTTAGCAGTACATGGTAACACAACCTTAACATAACCTTAATATAACTTAACACAACCTTAACATAACCTTAATATAACTTAACCTAACCATTATCCAACTTAACCTCACCTTAACCTAACCATTATCCAACTTAACCTCACCTTAACCTAACCATTATCCAACTTAACCTCACCTTAACCTAACCATTATCCAACTTAACCTCACCTTAACCTAACCATTATCCAACTTAACCTAACCTTAACCTAACCATTATCCAACTTAACCTCACCTTAACCAAACCATTATCCAACTTAACCCAAAAACATAACCTTAACATAACTTAACCCAACCATTATCCAACTTAAACCTAATTTTAACATAACCATTATATAAATTAACCAAGCCACTAACCAATTTAACCCAGCTTTAACCCTAACATTAACTTCTCCATTAACCTGCATTGTTCCTTCCTTCTCCTTACTAAACTCAAGCTTCCAATAGCAGAGCCCACCAAAGGCTTCATATAGTTAATTTTAAAGTCTAATCTCCCGTTACATCTGTTATCTAATCATCTGTTACACCTTATTCTTCATTTATTCCTTTTCTTTTGTGTCTCAAGTTATTCAAGCTATTTATCCTTAATTATTTATATACACGGTTTAATTAGCTTGTTACCGACCTATACCTCTATCCATGGTAAATAAATAAATAAACAAAAAATTAATTATTATCTCATTATATTTTAATTATTTTAACAACTTCCTAGTTTAAAGTAATTACAGCAACCGAGACTTAATTATCATTGTTTATTCAGCTGATTAATACCTGTATTTATGGTTAAGGGTGATGAGTGCCAATGCCTAACGTGTGGCACTATAGGAGGGGGGCCAGGACGAGGCACTATATAGAAGGCCAGCCATCACAAGGCACTATAGGAGGCCGGCCATCACAAGGCACTATAGGAGGCCAGCCATCACAAGGCACTATAGGAGGCCAACCATCACAAGGCACTATAGGAGGCCAGCCATCACAAGGCACTATAGGAGGCCAACCATCACAAGGCACTATAGGAGGCCAACCATCACAAGGCACTATAGGAGGCCGGCCATCCAAGGCACTATAGGAGACCAGCCATCTAAGGCACTGTAGGCGTCCGGCCATCCAAGGCACTATAGGCGTCCGGCCATCACAAGGCAGGAGGCCAACCATCACAAGGCACTATAGGAGGCCAGCCATCACAAGCACTATAGGAGGCCGGCCATCAGAGCACTATAGAGACCAGCCATCACAAGGCACTATAGGAGGCCGGCCATCACAAGGCACTATAGAGGCCAACCATCACAAGGCACTATAGGAGGCCAGCCATCACAAGGCACTATAGGAGGCCGGCCATCACAAGGCACTATAGGAGGCCAGCCATCTAAGGCACTATAGGAGGCCGGCCATCAGAGCACTATAGGAGGCCAGCCATCCAAGGCACTATAGGAGGCCAGCCATCACAAGGCACTATGGAGGCCGGCCATCACAAAGGCACTATAGGAGGCCAGCCATCACGAGGCACTTAGGAGGCCGGCCATCACAAGGCACTATAGGAGGCCAGCCATCTGGCACTATAGGGCCGGCCATCACAAGGCACTATAGGAGGCCAGCCATCACAAGGCACTATAGGAGGCCAACCATATCGTGACCCCGAGATATATAAACAAGATGGCGGCACTTTACTTCACTTCTCCCCCAAATTGGTCATTAATAATCACCTATCATTAAATTATATATCATTAATTAACCCCTAAGGCCACCCAGAATGAGTTCAGATATTTTTTAAGTTCAAATTTTAATTATTATTTTTTCATTAATTCACATATTCACGAAAAGATAGAATATGTGATATGTAACAAAAATACATATGAGGTTGACAGGTGTTAAATGGGCTATACATGTGACGGACAGGTAAGGTGATGAACATATACTAAAGAACAGCTCTTGACAACAGAACAAAATGAACGAGCTTAATAAACTGACTAAAATCACCAAGAACATCACATATCAAGAACAAATCCCCAAAGAGAACAAATGAACAAGAACAAATCATAGCAAATCGACATATAATGAACAATATGAACTACAAAAATGACATATGTTTGTAATAGCTTTCTCAAAACTTACGTCAATTCCAAGCTGTACTAAACTAGCTGAAATTTGCTACGTCTAGTCCTGTTCCTCTCAATTTAAAAAATTAATCAGATTTTTTTTGTAAACGATCATAAAAGATTTGAAAAGTAATTAAATATGAAAAAAAAAATTATATGTTTCGGTTCTGCCAAAATTATATAACATGGAAGAGACGTAAATAAGAAGCACTAAATATAAGGAAATACGAAAGATACCTGAAGTAACAGAGAAAAGGAACAAGAAAAAGTAACAGAAATAAAGGAACAAGAAAAGAAAGTAACAGAAGAACACGAATAAGAGAACTATTAACAAGAGAAGAATAGGAGCAAAAATATGATTAATCAGAAAAAAAAAATAAAATATACTAAAAAAATACAGGAAAATGAGATAATTTATTGATGTAACAGGACTTAGGAAATAACAGAGTAAAGGGAAGATATGATAAATTTAGAGAGAACATTAGAGAAAATACAGAGATAAATAAAAAATAACAAGAGAACTGGGAAATAACAGACTAAGAAAAAAAAAAATAACTGAGAAATAACAAGAGAACTAGGAAAAATAACAAAGAATAGACAACTAACAACAAAAAATAACAAAATAACCTAAAAAATATAAATAAAATATAAATATACTAAATATTGTTAGTTAAAAGATTACAACAAAGTCTTTATGTTCAGTATTACAGGTTAGTACAAAGATCTATACTGTCTATGTACACAGTCAATAAATACTGTATATATGCTGATACAGTGTAAGCATTGCACGACGATTTATCTAACTATATGAATGAATGACTTTATTTATCTATCAATCAATCTAATAAATCTATCCATTTATCTATCTATCTATCTGCCAGTCTATCTAACTGCCAGTCTATCTCTCAGCGTGGCAGTACAGTATTGTTAAGGGACACACAGCTCCTTCCTCTGCCCAGCTTCCTCATATACTTACAAGGGGGCGTGAGTATTGATCCATGAGAGTATTACACTACTAGGAGTATTGTAATGCTAGGGAGTAATAAAGTACTAGGAGTATTATAGTACTAGGAGTATTGTAATGCTAGGGAGTATTAGTACTAGGGGTATTATAGTACTAGGGGTATTATGTGCTAGGGAGTTTATTATAGTACTAGGGAGTATTATAGTGCTAGGGAGTATTGTAATGCTAGGGAGTATTATAGTACTAGGGGTATTGTAATGCTAGGGAGTATTATAGTACTAGGGATGTTATAGTACTGGGGTGTTGTAATGCTGGGGTTATAGTACTGGGAGTTATAGTACTAGGTGTTGTAATGCTAGGGAGTATTATGGTGCGGTGTTATAGTGCCTAGGGGTGTTGTGATGCTAGGGGTATTATAGTGCTAGGGGTATTATGGTGCTAGGTATTGGTGCTAGGGATTATTTAGTGCTAGGGTGTTGTAATGCTAGGGATATTATAGTACTAGGGGGTTGTAATGCTGGGGTATTATAGTACTAGGGGTGTTATAGTACTGGGGTATTGTAATGCTGGGGAGTATTATGATACTGGAGTATTATAGTACTAGGAGATTGTAGTGCTGGGAGTGTTATGGTACGGGGAATTGTTATAGTACTAGGGGAGTATTGTAATGCTAGGGAGATTATAGTACTAGGAGTATTATAGTACTAGGGGTATTGTAATGCTGGGGTATTATAGTACTAGGGAGTATTAGTACTAGGGAGTATTATAGTACTAGGAGTATTATAGTACTAGGGAGTATTGTAATGCTAGGGAGTATTATAGTACCTAGGGAGTATTATAAGTACTAGGGAGTATTGTAATGCTAGGGAGTATTATAGTACTAGGGAGTATTACAGCAGTGAGGAATATCTCACTGGAAAAAATCCCATCGTGTAAATTTCCACTGGACAAATTCCACCGCCAGAAACTTTAACTGGACAAAAAAATTCCATCACTTTAGGTCAGGTCAGGTCAGTTTTTTTTACGGGGAATAGCCCACCTGGGTACAGGTCAACGACCCACAATGGGGCCTGGGGGGCAAAAATTAGTAAAAAAATTTAAGAAAAAAGACTATATTAATTTACACCACGAAGATGCCGGAAAATCATCTTTTTGAAGTGACACATTGTATGAGCATGGAAACACAGAAGAAGGCAAAGAATTCCACAGTTTGGCTGTGTGAGGAAAGAAGGAAGTACTATAACGGGTTATTATAGTGTTACCGACATCAACAAACGGTGGGCACCGCGACAAGACAAGTGTTATAAGCCCACGGCCTTGCCGGCGGTACACAGGATGCCAACTCCACCGAACATTGCCCGTTAAAGTACCTGTGAAAGAGAGAGAGAAGCAACATTGTGGCGAAGAGAAAGGAAGAAAGATTATCAATTAAAGGAGGAGAGTTAATAAGACGTAAGGCCTTTGATTCCACCCTATCTAACAGTTGGACAGAAGAAGAACCACCCCACACATGAGAGCAGTACTCCAAGTTAGGACGAATGAATCCCTTCTATACTTGAAGCAACTGCTCAGGAGTGAAGTAGCTACGGCATCTGTACAGCATTCCCAGCTTTCAGGAGGCAGCTTTAGCAATGTTGTGGATGTGTGGCTTCCATGACATATTAAGAGGAAATGGTTAGGTTAGTTAGATTAGGCAAGGATAGGTGATGTCAGGTCAGGTCAGGTCAGGTCAGTTCAGGTCAGGTCAGATTAGGTTAGGTTAGCATAGGTTAGGTTAGATATTTAGCAGGTTAAAATAGACCAAGTGAGATTCTGCCACCTACCGTGTCCATCACTATTTATAAACACTTTATAGGAACCAACACTACCACATCTAAGCACACACACACACACACACACACACACACACACACGATTGTCTTGAGAATATAGACAATACACATCTCATTAGCATATTGGTGAGTGTGAGGTGAGGTGAGGGAGGTGAGGTGAGGCCGAATTCATTACTTTAGGTGAATACTTTTTTTTCAGTGAGTAAATTCGCCTCATAGTCCACACAGGTATTAATTAATTAGCTCACTTCTCATTAGTGGTAGATCACTTTATAACTCAGACAGTTGTGTATTATTAAGCTAACTCTCCTCTGTACCCAACCAGGTGTGTGTGTGTGTGTAATTCTTTTCCAGATGTGTAGTTTGTATTGTAAACTTTAACAACTACAGGTAACACATGTGGTACTGAGATTGTAATTGTTTGTTGGGGGTGGTGGTATTGTGATTGTTGTTGTAGTTGTTATTTGTTGTTGTTGTAGGTGATGGTGGTGTTGTGGGTGGTGGTGGTGGTGTTATTGTTGTTATTTGTTGGTGTGGTGGTGTTGTTGTTGTTATTGTTGTTGTTTTACTCCATCGGTATAATTAATCCCCACTCCCCCAAAAACTTCCTTCGTTCTTGTAAGTTTCAACTCCCGAAAAACTTACAGGTTACAGAGGTTATTCGCAGGACCAGAAACACGAATCTAAATTAAAACTGCAGGTTAGGTTAGTTAAGCTGGGAAGATTAGGTTAGGTTAGGTCAGGTGAAGTTAAGCTGAAGTTGAAGTGTGGTTAAGCTAAGGGATAATTTAGGTAGGTAGGGTAGGTAGGTTAGGTAGGGTAGGGTGGTAGGTTCAGATTCTGGCATTTTGTGAGTCCTGAGGATTGGTGACCACGTTGACTGCTGAGTAAGAGTGACTGTGCTGAAGACTTTACTAGTCATTTTGAAGCCAGGACTGTCGACGGATCCCAACTTTAAACAATCTAAGTGGTCTTTGTTAGTGGTCTTTCTTTAAGTGTCCAAAGACCGTTTATTCATTACGTCCAGTGAATAACGTTGACATATCACATTTTCGTCAAGACCAATAAATAACACTGTTCATGATTATTGTGTGGGAGACCACATTCATAGAAGTAAAACAATAATAATAATAACGCTTGGTCTCTTTACCTACCGAGACCAAAATGGTTTACCACTGGAATACAGATAGACCGAATACACCTGCAATCATCATCGACCACACCTGTGTTACCTGCCATCAAAACACCTGCCCTAAACCAACG